ATTGTGATAAGAATTGTATGAGCCCCCAATAAAATGATTTTTTTTAAAAAGTTCTCGGGAGAATGGAAATAAAAGTGAATGGAATTAAAAAAAAATAAAGAAAGATGGGGGTTGGTTTGTATACAGGCTGGTCTATATTCAAACACATGAAAACAGCTAGAACTCAACGGGGTTGCCGTGTCTCAGGGTTTCAGCCTTTGATAGGGTGCAGATGGAACCAATTTTCTATCGCTACTGGTGGAAAATGTTTCTATTTTCTTTCTCTACAGGTTTTGACTTTTGTAGGTTTTACTGTAAAAATTCTTTAGTGCTAAGCTCTTCTTTGAATCTCATTTGTTAATCTTTTATTGAACAGAAATCCTTAATTTTTATATAATAAAACACATTTCCCACTCTACATGGTTTGTGCTTTGGGAATTTCAAGCAGCTGTTCTCTTCCCTTAAATATAATATCCTTTTCTATTTTCTGATTTATAATTTTACCTTTCACATTTAGACCTTCAGTCTACCTAGAGTCTACCTTCAGACATGATGTTAAAATTAGCATCTTGCTTTATTTTTTCCCACATAAGCAACCAGTTTTCAAACATCACTTACTCTAAGAGTTTGTATATTACTTATTAAATATATACTATAGCTTTTGCTGCTATTTTGAGTAGGCTCTTTCCCTTTTAATGATCTAATTATCCCTACAGAAAACTGTTCCTTAACATCTGAAAATACTAGAAGGTTGGGAGGAAGAGGGGGAGGGGAAGGGAGAAAGGGGGAACAGATCACAATGACCGACACATAACCATACACCCCTCTCCAGGGGGAAGAACAGAAAACATGGGGGAAGGGGGACAGCAGTCGGTGTGAGAGATGAAACTAGTAACAATGTACAATCTATCAGGGGTTATGAGGATGAAACTAATAACAATGTACAATCAGGGGGTTTGAGGATGGGGGGGGAAGACGAGCTAATACCAAGGGTTCAATAGAAAGTAAATGTCTAGAAAAGAATGAGGGCAACATATGTTCAAACATGCATAATTCAACTGATGTATGGATTGTGCTAAGAGCCGTACCAGTCCCCAATAAAATGGTTTAAATTAAAACAACATCTGAAAACACTGAGCTTCAAATAACAACGGCTTGAATAAGATGGGCGGTCCCTTTCTTCCTTCAAGGTCTGAGCCAGCAGACAGGAGGAAGTCCAAACACCCATTATTTCGTGGCTATTTTTTCAATGATGTAATAAATTTTGTTGATCACTCATGCTAGTATAGTGAACTTGGGATTCTAGCTCAATTAAATCTTGAAAATTCCATTCAGTGCCATGGAGGATATTTTTATTCACAACAAAAATTAAATTCTAACTTTATAATAGAGTGCTTTTCAAATGAGAGGGAAAAAAATAAATAAATATAATGAGAGTATTACAGGGCAGGCAGAGAGAAATACTCTATGTAGAATTTGAAGATATATTTGCACAATACCAAGAGAGCCAGAAATTCTAAGGAAAAAAATCATTTAGTCTTAAAATCCCAATTTAAATATGAACTTAAGTCTTAAAAATGGACAGATTCTTTATTCAAATCTCAGCATCTCAAAATTATGAAGGTTGATCTAATGCAGACTTTGTTAATCTCAAAAAAAAGTTTGCTTAAAACTAAAAATATACAGGATTCCTTTTAGGGCTTTAAATACAGTTAATAAATTAAATATAGAATAGTTTAATTAACTAAATATAGACCAAATCTTTGATGAAATACAAGGAAACAACTGCAACACTAGGAAGCAGTGACATAATCTGGATTTTCTGGGCTAAAATCCCAATCATTTAATGTTGGGAAAATGATTTCCTTATCATTTTACTCTCTGCTGGGTTATACTAATAGGGTCAGACAGAAAAAGTATTTAAAATTATCTCAAAGCATAAAGAAAAGGAATAACAGCCATCAAATACAAATATACTATTTTATTCTAAGGAATTATTTTTATGAGTTTTGCAAGGGGAAAACTCCAAAAGTAGTTAAAAACAAAAAGGGAGAAAGGATGCTTTAGATACTTTTCTTATTTGTTGGATGTTGTGTCTGTTTTTCTCCTGAGGGCAAAGATCAAATTTTTAAATAAGATAGCAGATACTCGGACACACACTATCCACAGGTACCCTTATGAGGAATGACGAATAGTTCATTTTTTCCCCCCACGAATTAACAGGACTCTGGGCAACTCTGTGGACTAGCATGCAAGTGAAACCCCGACACGGCCCCTCTCTGGGCACTATCACTCTGCTTAAAAGAGACACATTTCCTCCTCGCTCTGCTAACAACATGTGCTTTTCGTGCGGTGAGGAGGGTAGCGCTGTCTGCGTTTATGCAACCACAGCGTTCGACGGTGCGGTTCACACAAACCCCGGTGGACTCGACAACTGAACGGCTTCTCCTGCACATCACAGATGTCTGCGACTGAGGACGTTTTCCAGGGAGAAATGACAAACACAGATGGAAGGAATCATACAGAATTGGGGAAGATTTACTTCTTTTACACAGTTTGTGGTAACAAAAATGAAATCTGTTACAGGCAGAGGGACAGAATCATCGAGTACACAATGCCAAAAGGCCTACTTTAAAATTTTTATTATAGTTAAATGACTTTATTTGCTTTAAAAACAAACAAACAAACAAAAAACACCTGCCACCCCACCTGAAAAATGGGATCTATTGACAAGTCTTTCAAGGTTAAAATTTCTAACAGGCATTTTGGACTTTGTTTACTTCTATCATGGGCTCAAATTAATCTTAGCTATGAGGAAGTTCTGTGATTAGTCAACATCATAAAAGTTTTTGATTCCAAATTTTGTGGAGGAGAAACAGAATGGAGGTGAGGGAGGTGGGCCGATATGTCAAACGTGCCGGGGAGCGCTCGGCACACAGCTCGAGGACAGCCAGGGCTTGGACAGACGCACGCCGGAGAAGACGTGCTTGTGGGTACTTTCAAGTGTCTGAGGGCAACCAGGTCATCTTCCAACAACTCCCACAGGATCACACTGGGACCGCCTCTCCCGTCATTCTGATAGTTTAATAATACTGTGTCTTCGGGGAAACCCACAGGTTCACCAGAGTAAGGAGAGACTGTTCAGTTTGAAATGACGCGGGCCTCCAAAAATTGGTGCAAAAGACAAATAAGAGGAATTATTTGGGAAAACGGAAGGTAAAGCCATGGGAGAAAAGCTGCCATTTGGGCAAAAAGGAAAACAAAAGGAGCCCCCATTTCTGGGTAGCACAGCTCATGCCTGGAGACATCAGGCATAAAGGACGGCACTCAGAGAAATGAGCATTTTAGTGGGTTTTCTATAAACCTCTCAAAACACCTGGGGTCTAACGGGCTCCACAGAATTTCTGTGTGCATAATTAGTTTGCAAAGTTTCACCCCGTTCCTTGATCCACATCCAGACCCACACTGTGTAGGCTAGACCCAGCAAGTGAAAGGGACCCATCGCTGTGTCGCAGCAGCGGGGCCTTGTCCCTGATGTGAGGGCCTGTAACAAAAGCACCGGAGGCTTCTCTCCTTCCCAGAATTGGCTTGGCAGTGAAAATCAAAATCAAGACCACTTCACTAGCTTTTTTAAAAAGTTGATTATTTTTATTGGGTCTTCAAGTCTGGGTCCCACAGTTCTCACCTGATGTCACTCTGAGTTCTACACTGAATTCTCCCAAGACTTGGATGGAGGACCTTGCCCAAGGAGTCTACTGCAGCCAAGGTTTTACTCCAAAGCTACCTCTCTAAGGTCTAAGGTTACTATGGTAGAATTTAATACAACAGTTTTCCTTAAAAATATTCCACAATTTGTTATTCCCAAACAAAATATGATTATGCACCACTCAGAGGAACTGCTTAGTCATCCTGGAGATGTCTGTAGTGCTTGCTCTACCACTGCCAAAGCACAGCCGTCCTCGGTTTACACTCTTGCCTTCAGTTTGCATCTGTACACCCACACTGTGTTCACGAGTCATCTGTCGTCCATCATCTAAGGGTCAAGCCGAGAGGACTTGGGCTTATACATCAGTTTCCAATGGCTAGATGCATTCACAGTTTGGTGCATACCAATGTATATGAAAATAGGAACCAAAATGCCATTTCAATCAGATAATTCAACCTCAGAGTCTTCAGATTTGGCTTTGGCAAGTTCTTCATGTACCTCCCTCACCATTAGAATACGTGTTAACATGGTGTCCAGCGTCCCAGGGTCGATCGGGAAAGTGGAATACCACATGGGGCTGTTCGGGACACAGGAGCGCTCAGGTTGAAGGTAGAACACATCATTCCTCTGCTTCACGCTTTCAGAGCTACCCATGGGGAAAAGAACGATGGAAGTGGAGGTCAGAGAGTGTACAAAATCCTGAATTCCTTATTAACACCATGGCTCTCCACTCTGCCCCACGATGACGCACCTGAGGGATGAATACATAGGTTCTGAGGCATTCCCCCCTCCCTCCACGAATAATCTGTAATTCTGTACTCTTTTCTCAAGCACTAAGAGAATACTCTGGATCTGAAATGAGTACGTAAAGCAAGGCGAAGTATAAAGTCCTATCCAACGTTAGCAGTGAAGACACCCGAGAAGTACTGAAAATCTAACTAACCCGTGACACCACGGCTGAGAACCACATACTCAACACCCAATATCACCAAGCACTCCATACATACTGCCTAGGGTAAACCATATTTCATATTTCCTTTGGGGGGGGGGGGAAACCTTCAGTGTAGACTTTACAATAATAAAATCATTAGGTTTCATTAAAAGAATGCTGTAAAAAATTGCAGTTCCTTTAAAAAAATGTATTAGTCCCTCCCTCCCCTCAAAAGTGTTTTTCTACCTAAAGGCTTAGCACCTCTCCTCTAAATTTATTTTCTAAACAATAAAGATATTAAGTAAAGTCTAAACAACAGTTGAAAAGATCAAATACTAGCAGGGATTCTTGCTCTTAAAGAGAATTTTGGGGGTGATGGGGAGATTAATCAAGATAGGGCAATTTATTTCTGGTCACTAATCCAAGCAGACAAGAATGGCAAAATAAAACTCTTTGTCTAAAGCCAAAAGCCAGCTAGAATTCCGAGGTTCAAGCGTCCAAAATGTAAAATTGGATAACCCCTGTTTGCAATGGGCCTTATCGAGTGCAGCGGAGCTCAATCACCTACCATTTTGACAGGTAGAACTCGTAAAGCCGGACTGGGCATCTTAGAGGGTTGTCAGTATTCTCTGCCATGTCCACACCCACCGGTACCTCATCGTCTTCATTTCTTTTCCTCTTACCAACAGTTAGTTTATCTTGGAATAAAAAGGAAAAGATTATACTTTAAAAGATTTGTCCTCAAGTCTCAACACACCCAATGAGTTTTGCTTCCCAGTCGGACTTTGACCGTCGTTCCCTCCCTCTCCATAAGCAGACAAGTGTTCGTGGAGCACCTGCGCGTGTGCGGACATTACTCAGTGCTGGGTTTATTTGCTGAGGCCAATGAAACAAAGTCCCTGTCTTATGAAATTTATGACCACCCCCACTGAGCAAGTAGGGGTGCCACTGGCAAAAAAGCAGAGGACTGGAGACTATGGCTACACTCTGACATTGACCTTATTAATAAACTTTATAAGGTACAGCAGAAAAAAGGGTTCTACTGTTTCTTCTCCTATAGGCAGAGATCACAAATAAATATTTACACAGTGGTGCCAGTGTCTCTGGGTATTTATTCAAACTTCCTTAACTTGTCACAGGGTTATGAAAAATGTCATCTCTTTGGGGAAAAGATGTTCAGTAAGAAAAGCGCCAACCCCGAGGGTAGGGTGAAGGTCAGGGGACAGTGGGGAACCGATTACAAGATCGACGTATAAGTCCCCAGCCCAAGGGGACGAACAACAGAAACGTGGGTGAAGGGAGACACTGGATGGTCTAAGATATGAAAATAATAATTTATCATTTATCAGGGGTCCCTGAGGGTGGAAGGGGGATGGGGCATGGGGTTGGGAAGGGGGGGGGAAAAAGAACTGATACCAAGGGATCAAACAGAAAGAAAATGCTTTGAAAATTATAATGGCAACATATGTACAAATGTGTTTGATACAATTAATGTATCAGTTGTTATAAGAGCTCAAAGGGGAGAGAAAAAAAAGAACTCAAAGAGCCCCCAATAAAATGATTTAAAAAAAAAGAACAAATTTTCATTTTCACCAAAAGAATTTTGTACAGGCCAAGGGTTATCAGAAAGGAGCCAAGGGCAGGGTGAAACGCTAAGGGCGTGGAACAGAGCAGCAAGGGGATCAAAGCAATGAAGATCCCAGAAAATATGAAAAATAGTCTTTGGGGCCTGGGTGTGGCACCCCATTGGACTCAACCATCAGGAAAACACTCTTAATGGACAACAAACAGACCTGGAACTATTTATAAGCTTTTCTTTTTTTGTTGTTAGTTTATTTTGGTTGTTGTTTTGTTTTGTGCTTATTATTATCTCTGCATGTCTATCTAGATAAGATAGGTGGGATAAACAATCTGGAGGAGAAAACAACGAGACTGACAGTTCTGGAGGGACACAGGAGAGGGGGAGGCCGGGGAAAGGACATGGGTGTTAACAAACCCAGGGAAAAGGGAACAACAAGTGATCTAAAATCAATGGCAAGGAAGGTGTGGGAGGCCTGGTAGTGCTTGTTCAAGGGCAATGTAACTGAGAGGAATTCCTGAAACCCTAATGAAGGCCAAACATGATAGTGGGACAAGAGGAAAGTAAAAGGAACTAGAGGAAAGAACTAGGAGGCAAAGGACATTTACAGAGGTCTAAATACAGGTATGTACATATGTAAATGTATTATATATAGCGATACAGAAACAGATCTATGTACATATATTTATATGTTAAGTATCAAGGTAGCAGACACACATTGGGCCTCTATTCAAATACTCCCTCAATACAAGAACACTTTGTTCTAATAACCTGGCATTCTGTGATGCTCAGCTTCCTGACAACCATCTCTGAAGACAAATGGGTGCATAATCAAATGTAGTGAAGAAAGCTGGTGGTGCCCAGCTATCAAAAGATATAGCATCTGGCTACAGCATCTTTAAAGGCTTACAGACAAACAAGCGGCCATCTAGCTCAGAAGCAACAAAGTTCACATGGAGGAAGCACACCAGCCAGTGTGATCATGAGGTGTCGATGCGATCATGTATCAGGCATCAAAGACCCAGAACAAAAAATCTTATCAAAGTGAATGAGGGGGAATACGGAGTGGAGACCCAAAACCCATCTGTAGACAACTAGACATCCCCTTACAGAAAGGTCACAATGAAGAGAGGAGCCAGTCAGGGTGCAGTATAGCACCGATGAAACATACCACTTTCCTTAGTTAGCAGTTTTCAACCTGTGGGTTGTGACCCCTTTGGGGGTCAAACAACCCTTTCACAGGGGTCACCTGATTCATAACAGTAGCAAAATTACAGTTATGAAGTAGCAAGGAAAATAAGTTTATGGTTGGGGGTCACCACAACATGAGGAATTGTATTAAAGGGTCACGGCATTAGGAAGGTTGAGAACCACTGCTCTATTTCTTTAATGCTTCCTCCCCCCCACCATCATGACCCCAATTCTACCTTACGTATCTGGCTAGACCAGAGGATGTAACTGGTATAGATAAGAGCTGGAAACACAAGGAATCCAGGACAGATAAACCCCTCAGGACCAATAATGAGAGTAGTGATACCAGGAGGATAAGGGGAAGGTGGGGGGATAAAGGGGGAATCGATCACAATGATCCACATATAACCCCCTCCCTGAGGGACAGATAACAGAAAAGTGGGTGAAGGGAGACATCAGTCAGTGTAAGATATGAAATAATAATAATTTATAAATTATCAAGGGTTCATGAGGGAGGGAGGGGGGGGCGGGGGAATGAGGAGCTGATACCAAGGGTTCAAACAGAAAGAAAACGATGATGGTAACATATGTACAAAGGTGCTGGACACATGGATGTATGGATGGATTGTGCTAAGAGCTGTCCGAGTCCCCAATTACATAATTTAAAAAAAGAAAGGAGTCACGGATGGGGTGAAAAGTTTCTTTTCCACTTTTCCTTTCAGTCTTCTAGAAAAGTGATTGCACCTAGGAACTCAGGGAAAGGCTTTCTTCTGCCTTTAACAGGCAGCACCAAACGCTCCCCAGCTTCCTCCTTAGGTATCAGTTCAATAAAGTTCATGCTAGTTTTTACCTAGCAGCTACCAACATGTAAAGATCGTGCTCATTTTCCATTCAGAAAACAAGCTGATGTTTAAACAAAACAAAAAAACCCAAGCTGAGTTTATTACCAATCCTGTGAAGGAACTATTCATTAGAAAACTGGGAAATGTAACTCTTCTGGAGCATTAACCACATGCAGCCAGTTTTGAGATGCAGAAACTTCAGGGTGTCCCTGGAAGCTGTTCTAGGATATATGGATTTTCTTTAGTGACTCAGTTTACTAATGACTGGCCCTGATGCCCTGGAGAAAGCAGCATGGGAGGCATTGACAGTGACCTTCAGGAGACAGAACCTGCTCTCACTACCCCTTCTTGAGACGGCCTTCCTCATGCTGCAGGGTGATGATGCCTCATTCTGTCTCTTTGCAACAAATATTTCTGATTACACAATTTCTGGCGTTTCTCTGTGAATTTAAATTTTTATCAAATAAGACTAAGGAAACAGGACATAGGCATTCTGAGGAAAAGCATGATAATCTTTGTGTTTTCTAAAGTAAAAGAAAGGGAAAAAAATTACACAAAGTAAAACATCACAATTGGTTGTGTTTTGTTTTCACAGTTTTTTTTATGGATTTTAGTTTCAGTAAAAATTTTAATTCTGAAAAATACAAATTTAATTCTCTCATTCAAAAGAAACATTTCATTCAGATCCCATGTAAGTAACAATTGCTCTGGAGGCTTTCAGAACTCATAGTTTTGGTCAAAATCAATAAATTTAATTTCTAATTATACTACCAAGATAAGGACTGGTGGCATGATAGTCACACTTACTTGAGTTTAATCCACCGAGGGTCCGAGCTCCCGTAGGCGGCTCACTGCTACAAAGTCTACAGCTGTGGGAGACCTCGGGGTAGTTTTAGAGTCCAAACCAACTTGACCTCACACAACATACCACCAACTGGAAATCTTCACACATTATTCCACCTGGCAAGTCTGGCTAGACCACAGGATGTACACTGGTACAGATACTGGAAACACAGGGAATCCAGGGCGGATGATCCCTTCAGGACCAGTGGTGTGAGTGGCGAAACAGGGAGGGTAGAGGGAGAGTGGGTTGGAAAGAGGGAACCGATTACAAGGAACTATATGTGACCTCCTCCCTGGGGGACGGACAACAGAAAAATGGGTGAAAGGAGACGTCGGACAGGGCAAGATATGACAAAATAACAATTTATAAACTATCAAGGGCTCATGAGGGAGGAGGGAGCGGGGAAGGAGGGGAAAAATGAGGACCTAATGCCCAGGGTTTAAGTGGAAATGTTTTGAAAATGATGAGGGCAATGAATGTACAAATGCGCTTTACACAATTGATGTATGTATGGATTGTGATAAGAGTTGTATGAGCCCCTAATAAAACGATTAAAAAAACATTGGCAACAAACTGTTACTTAATAGGCTGTATTTAGAATACAAGATAATAAACTTCATAATAAACTGTCACTTGTCGATGTCACCTTAAGCCAGCGGTTCTCAACCTTCCTAATGCCGCAAACCTTTAATACAGTTCCTCATGTTGTGGTGCCCCCAACCATAAAATTATTTTCGTTGCTACTTCATAACTGTAATTTTGCTACTGTTATGAATCGTAATGTAAATGTCTGCTACGCAGGATGTATTTTCACTGTTACAAGCTGAACATAATGAAAGCACAGTGATTAATCACAAAAACAGTATTTAATCATATATTGTGAAATACGTATTTCTAATGACAAATCAATGAAACTTTGTCTTGAAGCATGGTGTAGCATGGGTAACAGTCTTCACGTGGGCGTATCTGCATGTGGGCGGACCGCCTGGAGACGGATAGAGGAGCGGTGTCTGGGTTCCGGAGACCATCGGAAATATGTGTTTTCCAATGGTCTTAGGCGACTCCTGTGAAAGGGTCATTCGACCTCCAAAGGGGCGGCCACCCACAGGTTGAGAACCGCTGTCCTAAGCCATCGAAACCAGCTATTAGTTCTTTCAGTATTCATGTGCACTGTAAAGAGGTATTCTGATCAAAACGGGATTTAGATATAACAGATTGAAAACCTAAGCAGACTTCTAATTGGCAAATGAAACACTTACTGCCTCTAGATCAGTGTTTCTCAGCCCTAGCTACATATTCAAATCCTCTGGGAAGCTTTACAATGTTGGTTATTTGGCTTCTACCCTAGACCAATTAACTTAGAATGTCTAACATCAAAGGCAACTGAAGTAATTACTTCAGTTATGAGGAATGCTTATATACCCTAGCTGTGATAATAGGGGAAAAAAAAAACCCAAAACTTAAATGCTAAAATAAAGCTAAGTACTTCCACTTTTAAAATGCACCGAGCCCTCCAAGACAACAATCTATTTATTCCTAACTAAGCCTTCAGACAGGCGTCTCTGGAACAGCACCACACATACACACACCACACACACACACACACACACCTGGCTCCAGCTCGTGCTTCTGCAGTGGGGGGAGGAACCTCAGATACGTCATCTTGGTGCTGTACTTCAGTGTCCTGGTCCGTCTCATCACGTGAGCGAAGGAAAGCTTCAAGTGCTCACTCACATTCTTTAGCTGGAAGTATTTGGTATTGAAGAAAAGGAGGGTGTTCAAGAGAACAATTGGCGAGTAGGCACCCAGCTGTTTGCACTCCCACAGGTGTTCCTCTTCAATCCGAGAGAACATGTAACCTGAACAGAAGGGGGAAACGGTACTTAGTTCCTGCAGAACAGGACGAAGGAGCTTCTCCGTGTTCCAGGACTGGAAGATGTGAAAGGAAAGAAGGACCCTTCTCATTCCCTCCTCTCTTAAGCAGACACACAGAAAGGTACCACGAGAAAACGGCCTCTGAACCCACACAAGTCGATCAGTCCCTAATACTCAATGACTGCTACTTACATATACATGTATATGTATTTTTTCCTCTGAAGGTGTGACACTACAATTGTACACTACATTAAAAAGCGAAGCCTTATATGGGAAGAGATATATACAAAATAGTTATTTATCCTATAATGGAAGAGGATATACGGGGAACAGATGGAGATTGTTGGAAGGACCAGGAAGGGCCATGGGTTGATTGCCTCACCAACTTCCTAATTCCAGACAATCAGCCTTCAGATCTGTGAGACAGCGCTTTTCTTGTTTCCTGTTGGCTACCTGCTCAGCAAGTGCTGTTTCTTCTGATCACAACACTCACGTTTTCTTTTGAGAAGCAACGCCCATGCTCTTCCTGTTTAAAGCACCGGGCTGGGTGAAGCTGGTCCCACCCTCTCTCAGTAATTATCTTCTCTTAGAATACCATCTGGTAGAGTTGTCTTCATCCCCCCCACCCCCCAACCTTAAGCTATGGTTTACATCAGAATTATCTGGAGGGCTTATTACAACACCAATTGCTGGGCATCAACTCGAGATTCTGAAACCTAAACATCTGTATTTCTACTGCTATTTTATATCTGGGCTGGCAAACTTCTAATTTTTCTTTTTTTGGCAAAATTTTTATGTAGAGGGCCAGGCAGTAAATATGAAGGTAAGTGGGTTTCTACCTCCGTAACCTTCAACCGCGCTTCCCCCCACCCCCTTCCACCCCCCCCCACCTCCGCCCCCAATTCTGGACTCCTCAATCTACACCATATCGAAACTGCAGTGCCGGCATGCTGGAGCGACACAAACGGTGCTCCTTCTTGATGTTACTTTGAGTTCTGAACAAGAAACAGTGATCTGAAGGGGCGAGGTCAGGGCTACTCTTGAAGGAACAGGGGTCCGTGATGGCAAAAAATTCCTTAGTGCACATTTTCTGGCTTTTCTCAACAATGTTTCCAATTTTCTTATAACTTCTTCTTAAGCTCCAGGTATCCCAGATTTTTAGAGAAAAATCTATGGAGATTATCCCGTTGGAATCTTCAAAAACAGTCGATATAACTCCTGGCTGACGTCTCTGATTTGAATTTAACTGGCCGGGTAATTCCCTTGGAAGAAACTATTCTGAATGGATCCTGCTCTTTGGATGGTATTCATAAACTCAAGACTCCTCCCCAGTTAAGAGTCACTCAGCCGATCTTTGATTTTAGCACCTACCCAGCCAAGAGCCTGTTGAGGCCAAGGTGCGTGTTTAAAATGGAAAATGCCAAACCACGTGAGATCCCAACTTCAGCAGATACTGTATCAATGGTACCTCTATGATCTTCTCTCACCAATTTCTAGACTCTAGCCACATGCCTTTATTGTCAAGATTGACGGTCTTCCTTCTCTTGGCTCATTTTCCTTGAGGTCTTTCTAACTTTCCTAAAAATGCTGAGTCACTAAAAACCTGTTGTTTTATGTGGCGCCTCACCTCAGCAACTTGTTGCAAACGTGTCAATGATCTTCCCAAAGGAAGATGTCTACTTGAATTCTGTTCAACATCTGAAGATTCTCATGGCCACACCATCTATTTTGACTCAGAGTGTCCCTACAGGGGAGGGTAGAACTGCCCCTGTGGGATTCTGAGACTAACTCTTCACAAGAATACAAAGTCTAGGTTTTTCCCAACGAGCTGCTGGTGGTTTCAAACTGCTAACCTTGAGATTAGCAGTCCAATGCCTAACCACTATGCCATGAGGGCTCCTAATTTGATTATTAGCCTTATTAAAATATTGTTAATCCTTAATACAACAGACAGTTCTGATCTCAAAATAGCCTTTTCCCAGAACACACACACATACACACAAATCTGAAGACAAGTTTATTATTAAGATACTTTGTCTGCAGCTGCCCAGTGATCACAAAGATATGTTTAAATATTTTGTTTACTAAGCCTGTGCATGCAGGGACAGAACCCTGATCTCAGAACCTCTTCTGCTTCTCCTTTCCCTTAGACACTGAGGGCCATACAGGCTCTGCACAACTTTGCTGCTGTAGATTGAAACCACCCATAAGTTACATGTGAACAAGGAGATGTGGCTATGTACAATTAAACATTACTTTTATACTTTTAACAGGATTTTATCTTAATTTTCATATTATAAAATACTATTCCTCTTGATTTTTTCCACAACCATTAAAAAAATTTAAAACCCAATTTGCTGGCTCCCGACTGAGAACATTAATTTTTTTTCATTAATTTTATGTTAACTAGTTTGGTCTTAAAATAGATCACTCTCTTTTGAGAATGATGGCAACAAACATACAAATGTGCCTGACACAATGAATGTATGGATGGATTGTGCTAAGAATTGTATGACCCCAATAAAATGATTAAAAAAAAATAGATCACTCTCCCTCATCTTAATTTATATTGTTTAAAAGTGATTATTTCCTGGTGATTTGTTTGGATACTTTAAAAGCTAAAGAATTGCATAAGAATTACAATAAAGTGCTTTTAAGTGCACCTTCTTCATGAGGCCCCTTAAATAAAATTCTTTCCTAATTCTCTCCAATGTCTCCTGTCCTGCTTCTTTACTCCATTCTTTAAGAGACTAGCCACAAAACTAACTATTATTCCCAATTCTATGCTCCCAGAGCCTGTTTTTGAATGCAAAAAACATCAAGCCACCTCTTGGCTCACAAGACGTCAAAAGCTCTGTGCCCTCAATGGAACTGGCGTACAATCCTGAATGTCACATTCAACTCTATTTACTTCTAGAAGCTTGAGACCAGCACGTTGTCAGCAAGAGAGTCTAAGAGTAGAGAATGTGGCCGCTACTCTTCTCCTGTAGAGCTATATTGACTTGAAGATCAAAATGAAGTTTCTAAAAAGTAAAACTGTAACTTAAAGTTTTGTTTGTGTTTATTATTTTCAGCATTTGGAATCTATAAATACCGTAAAATAATAAATCCAAAACTTTAGCCTCAAAAGTTGATATTCTATAACCAGGTCAGATATAGGAAATAAGCAATTCATAAAAAGATAATCACAGACTCATGCAATTTAACAAAGCATGTCAGTGAAAACAATCAAAATTAAAATAATTCTCCTACCATTAGGAAGTACTGTAGGTTCCCATATTTTCAAGAGTTTGGTAAGTTCAATCATAAATCTGGAATAGGGTTCAGTAAAAATGTTATCTATCCTACCATTTTCAAACAGGTACTGTAAGAGAAAAAACATAGGTACATGTTGATAAGAAAAATTCATTTGTGCTTTCTTTCTATGTTAAAGACTTCCAGCTCATGGTTAATTTTTGTCCTTTACAGTATTGTGAGCAATACTGATCTAAGTATTTTAAAGAGGTGTCTTAAAATACCAGGATTCAAGTTAAGTAATTCTTTTAATTATCTTGGCCATTAAGTTCTTTTTTTGAGTCTCCTTATAAAAATAAGGATACAAAATAGTTATAATTATAAATAAGTACACCTTACTCAGTTCATAAAACTACCATACTAAAAACTGATTATAATGCACATTTTTCAAATCAATACCTGCAGATGTGTTCTGAGGATATCTGACTGATTTTTTAGTTATGAGATCATTTCCCAATAATTCAATAATGCCAGGTGACTAGAGAAGCCCCAATTTAAAAACTTCACTCAGAGCCTGTAACCACAGCATATAAATACGCTAATAATAACAATGTCAAAGGACCACAGAACAGGAGGAACACAAGTCTGGGGACAGTATTGTTAAACACAGTTTTGAAGATGTCATTTAAATGAGCAATGTAGAAAAATACATAGCCGCCAGTAAATACGTAAGAAAGATCTGGGGTTTTTATAAATACCTAAAATTAAATTTAGTCGCCCCCCCCCCCCAATTGCTGAAAACAAAACAGGTGCACAAGCAGATGTGGGGAAGACAGAGGATGGTGCCTGGCTATTGAAAGATACAGTGTCTGGGGTCTTAAAGGCTTGAAGAGGCCATCCAACCGTGAAGCAACAAGCCCACATGGAAGAAGCACATCAGCCGGAGTGATCGTGAGGTGTTATCGAGACCGGGAAACGGGCATCAGAAAACTCAAAACAAATAGTAAACAAACAAACAAAAATGCACTGGTGAGAATGGAAGGAGGTTGGAGCAGAGACCCAAAGCCCATCTATGGCCAATGGAGCATCCCCTCTCAGAGGGGTCGCAGGGAGGGGATGAGTCATTCAGGGTGCAGTAGAGCACTAATGAGTCCCATAATATACCTCTGATCCCTTGAGGCCTCCTCACCCCTCGCTATCATGACTCCAGTGTCTCTTCCCACTCTGGACTAGACGGGAACGTATATAGGTACAGGCAAGAGATAAAACGCACAATACATGGGACCCAGGAACATGAGTGGGAATAGAGAGACCAAAATTTCAGCAGGAAGGGGAGGTGGAGAGGGAGGGGGGCACCGATCGCAATGAATGGCACAAACCACACCCCCCCCCATCCAGGGGGAACAACAGAAACCAGAGGGAAGGGAGGTAGCGGTCAGTGTGAGATCTGAAAATAATTAATCTACAGTCTATCAAGGGGCCACGAGGGGTGGGGGGCAGGGAGGGCGGAAGGGAAAAAAAGAGCTGATCCCAAGGGCTCAATGGAAAGTAAATGTCTAGAAAAGAATGATGGAATATATGTACAAATATGTTGGACATAATTGATGTGTGGATTGTAACAAGAGTTGTAAGAGCCCCCGATAAAATGATGATTAAAAAAATTAAATTTTGTGCACATATGCACATGCTAGAAGGAATCAGGGTGGTATAGTGGGCTGTGAGTTGAGTTGTTAACCACAAGGTTAACAAGGTTCAAAACCACTGGTTTTGATTTTATGTGTTTTGTGTGTACTTAATATGTAAATAATGTGTATCACATTGCCATCAAGGAGATTCAACCTTGTAGGACCAAGAATTGCCCCTTGTGGGGCAAAGGTGTATTCCATCATATAGATAGATGCACCTTATATAAGTGTCTGTTGGTAGGCTTTTAGGTTGTTCCCAGTTTTTGTCTTGGGTTGATTTAAATGAGCATAAGCCAATTATCTAAGGAGTTCTGGTGACAAAGTGGGTGACCAGTAGGCTACTAACCCTAAGGTCAGCAGTTTGAAACTACCAGCTGCTCCTCAAGAAAAAGAGAAGTTTTCTGTTCCCGTAAAAATTACAGCTTAAAGCAAATGTTTTGAGTATGATGAGGGCAACAAATGTACAAATGTGCTTGGCACAATGCATGTATGTATGTATGGATTGTGATAAGAGTTGTACGAGCCCCCAATAAAATGATTAAAAAAATTTACAGCTAAAGAAACCCACAAGGGGCAATTCTTGGTCGTACAAGGTTGAATCTCCTTGATGGCAATGTGATACACATTATTTACATATTAAGTACACATAAAACACATATAAGCAATACAAATGAACAAATAACCCTTAACCCTTATATCAGAAACAAGAAAAGATGGTCACTCTTTTTTTTTAAATCATTTTATTAGGGACTCATACAACTCTTATCACAATCTATACACACATCAATTGTGTAAAGCACATCTGTACACTCATTGCCCTCATCATTCCCAAAACATTTACTCTCCACTTAAGCCCCTGGCATCAGATCCTCTTTTTTCCGCCTCCCTCCCTGCTACCCCCTCCCTCATGAACCCTTGATAATTTATAAATTATTATTTTGTCATATCTTGTAAGATGGTCACTCTTGCTACATTTTTAAACACTGTACTGTCAAAGCAATAAGGCAAGAAGTCATCCAAATATGAAAGACTTAAAACTCTCTCTATTTGCAAATGACACAATCTGAAAGAATCTTAAAGAATCCACAAAAACAATTAGAGCTAGCAAAATCAGTGTTGCAGGACACAAGATGAACACATGAAGATCAGTTCATGTGTGTTATCTATACCCAACCAAGGAAAGAAGAATGCTGAAAATGGAAAAACGTATGGGTTTGGGCGGTTACCATATCCAGAGACCAGACGAACTGGCTACCACTACCAACCACTCTGAAGAGACTCACAAGAGAAGATCCTGGGTAGAGTGGGAGAAATATGTGTAACAAGACTCAAAATCATCAAAGAGCCAAGGCTTACATCACTTACAGATAAGTGATGACAGGTACACTGAGGATACTGCAATACCTGAGTTGAAACAAAATATGCATTAATTATTGAATGTAAAACTGATGATCTGTTCTGTAAGCCTTTGCCTAACTGACGTGAAGTTTTAAAAAATTAAATAAAAAGGCACAAAATAAGCTAAAAGATACAGTTGTATGGCATAATATATTTTTCAAAAAGACTTCAATGTTCTACATCCTACTTTGATGAGTAGTAAATGGGGTTTTAAAAGTTCTTGATCAGCCATCTAGGGGGAAACTGTTGGTTTCTCCTCAACCAGAAGAAAGAAGAGTGGTGAAAATCAAAGACGTAGAAACAATGAGTCCAAGAGACTAATGAATCAGATAAGCATCACTGTCTACAACTATGAGGTCAGAAGAACTAGATGGTGTTGACCATCGCTCTTAATTGCTCCGGAAGGGGTATTAGTAGAAGGTTCTGGATAGAGTGGGAGAAAAAGATGGAACAAAACTCAAAATAATAAGGCATAAAGCTTACTGATGAATAGACTTGGGGGATCCCCTGAGAGTATGTGCCTTGGCCACCTTTCATGTCCGAAACTGAAGGGAAGTGGCTCAAGCTAAACAGTGGCTTAATTGCACCAGGAGGTACACACACCTTAGACTAAACAATGATTTAGAGTCCAAATGACAGCATTTACCCTAGGACAAAGGGTTAGGAAGGAATGGAAACAGGAAACCTGGGGAAGAAGTAGGAGAGGTGATTAACATGAATGCGATAGAAACAAACTATGTATGAATTGAATGGAAAACTGATCTCCTCTATAAGCCTTCAATGAACTCACAATAAAGCTAAAAACAAAATCATATGTGGAAAAAACAGAACAAATTAAAAATGGTCAAAAGGACACACCAGCTTATGTGATCACGAGGTGCTGAAGGGATGTTATCTGGCGTCAAAGGACAAAAAATCATATCATTGTGTGCTCATCTCCTTGATACGATCGCTGAATTCAAATGGGTGCATAAGCAAATGTGGCGAAGAAAGCTGATGGTGCCCAGCTATCAAAAGGTATAGCGTCTGGAGTCTTAAAGGCTTGAAGGTAAACAAGCAGCCATCTAGCTCAGAAGCAACAAAGCCCACATGGAAGAAGCACACCAGCCTGTGCAATTACGAGGTGTCGAAGGGATCAGGTATCAGGCATCATCAGAACAAAAAATCTTACCATAGCGAATGAGGGTGGGGGGAAGTGCAGAGTGGAGACCCAAAGCCCATTTGTAGGCCACTGGAGGTCCCCTTGCAGAGGGGTCTTGGGGAGGAGGACAAGCCAGACAGGGTGCGATGTAGCAATGATGAAAAATACAACTTTCCTCTAGTTCCTAAATGGCCCCCCACCCACCCACTATCATGATCCGAAGTCTACCTTGCAAGTCTGGCTAGACCAGAGGATGTACACTGGTACAAATAGGAACTGGAAACACAGGGAATCCAGGGCAGATGATCCCTTCAGCACCAGTGGTATGAGTGGCGATACTGGGAGTGTAGAGGGAGAGTGGGTTGGAAAGGGGGAACTGATTACAAGGATCTACATGTGACCTCCTCCCTGGGGGACGGACAACAGAAAAGTGGGTGAAGGGAGACGTCAGCCAGGGCAAGATATGACAAAATAATAATTTATAAATTATCAAGGGCTCATGAGAGTGGGGAGCAGGGAGGGAGGGGAAAAATGAGGACCTGATGCCAGGGGCTTAAGTGGAGAGTAAATGTTTTGAGAATGATGAGGGCAATGAATGTACAAATGTGCTTTACACAATTGATGTTATGTATGGATTGTGATGAGTTGTATGAGCCCCTAATAAAATGATTAAAAAAGAAAAAATATGGTCAAAAGGGAGATCAAATGATAAAATGTTAAATTTTAACCTAACAGCATCTGCAGTAATCCACTTTCCAATGCACTGTGCATGACAGCATGGTATTTTCTTTCTTTTTGAATGAGGTTTTCGGTTTTACTCTGTTATTGGTGTTAGTTGGGGTTTTTTAAAATTGTTTTTTGGTGTATCCTTCTGTCTATGAAATCCAGAATAGGTGAATCTAGAGA